CTTCCCAAAATTGGCTGCGTTTCCGAGCGTTCGTGGCAGTTTGCGTGTGTGCTCTGCGCCGGTCATTGTTTGCTGCCATCATTGTGAAACTGAGTGCTGTTGTGCGTCCAGTGAGACAGGGAGCTATTCACAGGGAGATTGGGAATCCCACCAGTAACAAGAAAGTACAAAAGAGCTACACTCAGAAATGCAGTGGGCGAGCGCACATGTATCCAAGAGCATAATGAGCTAGTTTCATTGTTTAGGCTGGAGCACTGGCAGCAAAGAGTTTGTTTTAACAAGCTCCAGGTATAATGCAATGGAGGGCGATAAAAATAATATTTACCTACTCGTATATACATATGTATTATTCATTGTATTTATATACAAAATGATTTGATGATTCATCTATTTTAACTTTCTTTTTGTCTTGTTTAAAAACAGTTTCAGCAAAGTTTAGAAGGAGAAGTGGGGTTATGAAATCAGAGTTGTTTGTTTCCACATGTACCAGTAGTTGCTTTGCTTGTGGACACTGTTTTATTCTGGACACACTTTGTTGGAAAGAATAAAAAATAATCTAGTCAACTGCTTAAACTAGGAAGGGATCATTTCCAGACAAACGTGAAAATGTTCTGATTCCTTGAAAGAATAGATGGTCAAAACAATCTTTGAGTCATGTGTTACTGGTAGATTTCAGTAATTACACTTGTGTTTACATTGCATTACAATCACAAACTATTGGATGACGATCCTAGATGAAAAAGATTGTTCTTTGAATGACCCCACAATAATAAGACAGCTGTTAAATGAGATTGCATTTAGTTTAGATGATGAATTAATTCAGAAAGATAAATGCAACGTTTTTCTCCAACAAATGAATCAACTCAGAAAATAGTAAAACAAAACATACAATAAAACATTTCCTCAGAGTAGTCTCACCAGATATCAGAAAATCAGATAGGTTGTGACACAGAATTTATTTAAACTATATTTCTGGACAGCTTTAATGTTAATGTGTGAAATAAAACAACAAATAGCAAAAACAACCCGACATAATTCTATTTCAATGTTGCAGCTGGATTTGGCCGATTGTCACCCTGTAACTCAGATCACAGTCTTTGAAGTTTTATATCAGTAAATGCAGTACATGTGAAAAATTAGTATTTTCTGTGGTACCCACATGATTCCTACCTAACCAACTAAGCTGGCTCACTGGCAGCTTGCCACCGCACAACAGCAGAGAGAGTGTGCTTATGCTGCTGCGTTTGCCCACGTTGTTTGCGGGTTCATGGCGTGTGGGGCTCTGAAGCTATAGCATGGATTTTTACAGCTGAAACTATACTTGGTGCAGGCTGCATCCTTTAGGCCCTGCAGACCCTTCTGCACTCACGGCTTCTGTTTAAGAGTTAAATTCAGCTTGATTTTCATTCACTACAGATCACCTAAGGCTTTCATTTGCATGCAGGCCAAATGTTGTGTTAATGTATTTACAAGCTTAAATAATTACAATCCCTGCACTTGCACTCATCGCTCATCAGGTGAACAATCTTATGTCTTGATGAACATGTGTTTTTGTTCTAATATCAAGATTTAACTCTGTGATCTACTTTACGATGTACATTGTACATTTTTATAAAGGATTCATTTGTAACCCCATCAACTTATCCTGGCTTTCTACTGTCTTGATGCCCTTGTTTTGTATAATTACATCTGCAAATCTTGTAAGCTTAACACATATAATGAGTGGTAATGGATTTTGGCACCATCAACACTGAGGATAAGCAGGAAGAATGCAGTAGAATGGCATTAAGTACAGCAAATACCTGCACCAAGGCACAACAGTCTTTAAATTCAATCTTAAATTCAATCAAACTGCACCAAAATTTTGCATACTCATAGATATTGGTCCCCTAAATGTGTCTGGTTTCTTTTCATCAAGATCCATGAATGATTCCCTGAGAGATCAATGAGATTTAAATAGAAAACGCACTTTCTCAATGTTAAAGATTTTTGAAAAGAAATTCCCCTGATTCAGGTCTGCACCAAAATTGATTGGTTCTTCCCCAACCCATTTTGTATCCCTCCACCAAGTTTCATGGTAATCTGTGTAGTAGTTCTCTTGGAACACATTTTTAGAAAACAGTCAACTAAAAATAGTGATTTGTTTCTTAAAGAACAAATTAGAGAATGACTTAAATACAGTGAAACTCAAGTATTATGTGTGTTGTATAATTTTGCACAATATAAGAGTCAGAATCAGATTTTGATTATACAGCACAAGTAGTAGCCCCTCCTCATGTGTCTAAGTTTTGGTGGTCGAGTCTGAAGTGCTTTTTGCCATTGGAGCATAGTCCTCTCTCCACATGCATCAGTCTGTGGTTTTTGAATGCAGCCAATCTACAAATTATGGAAACAGCTGCAATTAGTGGCGGATTTATATATTGCGGTGGGACCTTAGAGACTAATTAAAGGGCTTTGTGTTTGTGTCTATAGACATGCTAATTTCAAGCCTTTTGACGATGATTCACAAAATCAAGTCTCAAATTCATGCATCTCGATTCGTGCGCGCCCACTGTAATGATGAACATTCAGCGTAGTTGCTTAAATGGGAGCTGGTAAAATCGTTCCATCCATATATTCCAATCGCTACATCATTAGAGGTAAGTTGGCGTGATGCAAAAAAGAACTGATTTTCCCTCATCTGATGGAGTTGCAGCAGCTCTTGTACATTACGCCTTGCTGTTGTATTTGTGGCAGAATTCTAAAAGTGGGAAACCAAATTAACTGCAGGGTTTTCTTCCCAAGGAGCAGGTTTCCTCTTGTTTATTAAATTTGTTAGAGTGTTTCTGAGCAATGCACATTTTATCCTCTTAACAGTCAAATTACTATATACTCCAGTGATTGCTTAATGTACTCTAATGAGATTTCCCTATGAAATGGAAGGATTCATTTATTTTAATGTGACGCATTCCACCGGGCGGTTTATGCATCATGTCCCCTCGCAATCCGGGAAGGCTTTGAGTCATAAATAGTGAGATGATCTTGGCTCCCAGACTTGCCACTGTGCCCATAGCAGCAGTAGATATATGGTTCTGTGATCCGGGCACTGGGGGTCTGTTCAGGGGCATCAGTGGGTCACAGATGCTATTTACAAGCTCAGCTCTCTGCAACCAGGTATTCTCTCGGATTAGTGAAATAATACCAGGCTTCCAGAAAGTTTGTGCACTAGGCCATGGAAGTGCAAGATCCAAAGAACAAATAATACAACAAACAGGAAAATAAGTTAAGTTTTTAAATCTTTTAAATGACTGGATGATAAAGATTTAATTGAACCAAGAAAACAGATTCAAACTGAAGTATTTGAAAATGAAGTATAATGTTGGCATGAAATAATAAGTAACTTTCAAATATTATGCAACAGCACAAACCAACTAGTAACTACCATGAAGCAGAGTCATTTCAAATGATTAACATTTAAAGAGAAACCTGACTGAAAATCAGTTCAATGAGCATTAACAATTTTTAACATGCATTATCTTTATATTCACTTCCACTGTGATGATTCAGTGTTTATTAATGCGTGATCTGGATGCAGAAGAAGCTTGTTTTAAAAGGTTGTATCAACTATAGTTATGAAGGTTCAACTTAAATACAGATATTTGTAACTTCTGAAGACCATTTTGACAGCAGAAGGCAGGAGCATTTAGCCATATTATTATAAGGGATAATATGATGAGAGTGGAGGTGGAGGAGCCGGTCTCTCCATAAGCTGATGTTCCTACAGGCGTCTTTTCAGGAAGCTGTCGGAGCTGTCGTCTTCAAGGCTGCAGCCGAAACACAGACGGACTTTGTTGTCTCATATTTGACAGTACTTGTGTTTCTTACTTCACCGATTACACACATTGTGTAACTTAGACAATTGTCAGATGTGGTAGACGAGGACACGACAGTGGAGTTTTTCCAAAGAAAACACTCAGATTATCAAATAATGTTTTTTTTAAATGAAATAAAATAACTGGATTTTTGTAAATAGTTTAACTGATTGAATATGTTGCAATGTAAATAATTAACACAGGTTACAAGAGATTTAAGATCAGTCCTATGAAGATATTAATGCATGGAATAAAACACACACCCACACACATACCTACCCTGTTTTTCCTCCATAAGGAAATTCAAATTGTGTTTTCAATACATTCAGCATCACCTATCTAAGTCGAAGCAAAAAAGGCCGATCACTTTTATTACCCATTATGGAATCAGCTCCAAAAGCACTTCATCCCCCATTTCCCATAATGCAACAAATCGCATTATTTATTTTTCCCACTCTGAATGATAAATGCCTACATCTCAATTAAATATAAAATCCTTATTTTTGATCATGTACGTTTTTTTTGTATTTGAAATTTAGGTCAGCATATCATGTAAAGTAACAGTCACCTCGTAAACTATAGAAAAAGCTTTTTCTTCTTTCCCTTATCTGAAGGATGAAGTGCAGCACTAATGTCTAATGTCTACTTTGATGTGAACAGCCTTTCTAGGTTTTGAGCAGCATGTAAAAAACTGAAAAAAATACTTTACTTTGAATTTCATGTAAAAGAAGAGTACTCGTCCAGATATGTGCTCCACCAATGTGGTTGTATGTTGAAATAAAAAGACACCTTAATGGAGAGACAGCAGCCTAAACTACTCTGCTGGTGTGATGGAACACACACACACACTCTCACACACACACATACACACACACACACACACATAAATCCATTATGGCTTTGGACTTCAAAGCTGATATTGGTTTTTTCCACATTCCCTGAAAATAGAGAGGGTTGCTCCATGTTTGCTGAGCAAATTAAATACCTTGTGAAATGTGCACTGCTCCCCTCTCTGCCAGTCCTAAGTGCAAATGCCTCTCGATATCATTTAGTCCCATATCTGGAATCCTGTGTTTTCTACCTCTGCTTGTGCTAATGTTTGAGACCAACTGTCATGGGCTTTACGTATTCTTCTGTTTTTTCTTTCAGGTGGGATTTTCGAGCAAACTGATGGACCTGTTTCACTTGTTAGTGCGGAGGAGCTTGCATTTAAATTTGCAGTCAATAACATCAACAGAAACAGGACTTTGTTGCCAAACACAACATTAACATATGACATACAGAGGATTAACATCTACGACAGCTTTGAGGCATCGAGGAAAGGTGAGTGACTTCTGTGTTTGTTCAAGGACTGTGATCACACTGTGGAAGGACAGCAAGAAGCTGGTTGGTCAAAGACACAAGTACATGTTTCATGACTATGATTTCTTAGAAGCTTTAATCCCTGTAATGTGATCAGGAGTTGCTTTCTTCTCAAGCTTTCCATCTCTTTTTCTTATCTAGCTTGCGACCAACTGTCTTTAGGAGTGGTTGCAATATTTGGGCCCTCACACAGCTCATCATCAAATGCCGTGCAGTCCATCTGCAATGCGTTGGAAGTGCCGCACATCCAGGTGCGATGGAAACACCACCCGATGGACAACAGGGACACCTTCTACGCAAACCTATACCCGGATTACTCATCACTTAGCTATGCCATCCTGGACTTAGTGCAGTTTCTCAAATGGAAAACAGCCACCGTTGTATATGATGACAGCACAGGTGAAGACATTGTCTGTGTTTACATGGACAGCAATATTCTGACTATTGACCTTATTTGGATTATGATGTTTATGTAAGCTTCTTATAGAATATCCCATTCATTTTCTAAACTTCCATTCTGCAGAGTTTAGTTTGTCTGTCTGAAGATCCCTCCAGGAGCTTTTAAGCGTTTTCTGTCTAATTTGGCAAAAGCTTCAAGTTCTTTTTTTTTTTTTACATTTAAAATCAGGGCAGTCATCATCAGTTGATAACTGCCTTGTATAACGTAAAACATTGTACAAACTCCAATAAGACCTTATGATGTGATCAAGACGTATGATGATAAAAATGTCAGAATACTTCACTTCTCTTCATTTGGTTAAGGTAAACTGTAAATGCTGTTGACATGGGATTGTCTTATTCAGACTACTGTCTTAATCAGGTTATTATTGGATTGTAAGTGTCCATGTAAACATGTCTACTGTCATACTTCTATATAATGTTATTATAATGTTACAGAAGGAACACATGCACCTCATTGTCATAGCATTTTCTGTGAGGCCATGCCGTCATTAGTGCTGTTTCTCTTCCTCAGGCCTTATACGGCTACAGGAGCTGATAATGGCCCCGTCCAGGTACAACATCAGGCTAAAGATACGTCAGCTTCCTCTTGACTCGCAGGACACGAGACCCCTTCTCAAGGAAATGAAGAGAAGTCGCGAGTTCCGCATCATCTTCGACTGCAGTCACCAAATGGCTGCACAGATTCTCAAACAGGTTAGTGCGAGCATCTCATAAAATGGCATTCACCAGTCTAACCAGACAAATTTAATCACATGGTCCTCTTCCACAAAGCTTTGTTTGCCACCAGCTACTTCTTATTATATTTGTGGAGGAAAAACATATGAAGGGTTTGACTTACCAAGAACGCAAATGGATAAGTGGGAGGAGACAAGAGACAGAACTGCTTGTTATGGACAAATTGCCGCCAAATTTGACTTTGATATACATCCTGTTTATACATGTGTTTTGATATAAACAACCATCAGTCAACAAAGAGCTGTGAGCAAGAAATGAATGGAGATTGTGTAGGTGGTCTAATGCTCTATAGATGTCATTCGCAGGCTGCTGGACACCCCCCCTCCTCCATTCAGATGCTGTCATCCTCCATTAACATGTTTACCAAATGCTTCATCTCTTTCCAAGTTATTTAAATAACTCAGTCCTCCCAAGTCACTGAGATCTAAGTTGACACGTGTGCTCGTGGCCAGTCGACACATCTCGCACCATGAAAACAGTGTCCACTTGACAGAAGTGAGAGAAGGTTTAGGGGCAAAACTGCTCCAGACAGTTCTTCTCCATGAACAAATTATCAGGACGTCGTAGTTTCTATGTGTGTTCATGAGAAAGGTCATTCAATTAAGTACCATGTAATAATAATGTAGTAAATGAAAATATTACAATTTGCTGTGATGCCTTCAAGAAAACCTTTGTGCATATTTAATTTACAAAATACAGCATTTGATAAAAGACCATATTTCCTGTCTATCATAATTATTAGATAAAGATTATGGCAAAAACTAATAAAACATGTATTTGTCTTTATTTTTTTAAGTGGTATGATTTTAATTTTTTGTTGTTTTCAGGCTCTATCAATCAAAGCTGCTGCCAAACGAATTCACTGTTGTAGGACAATTAAGATCTGAACTGTACTAATTTTATGATAAATGAATCAACCAAACCAAAAAATAAATGTAATTCCACATATAATAATAATTATAATTATAATATATTAATCAATATATTTCTTTAAAGAGGGAATACTGAAATGTGACAAGCTGGAAGCAGAAAGATTTGGGCATTTAACTTAAATGGAATATAAACATATACTTTATAACAGATATAGATTATGGTACATTCTAACAATCTAGTACATCTTTCCTCTGTTATGACTGCTGCACATAATACACAACCTCTCAATAAAAGAAACTTTCTTTCTGAGGGCAAAAACTTGAATTAATATCACAAGAGTTTTGATTTGTAGTGTGACAAAACAGATCATCTTATGAACTATAGTATGATAAGATTCTCAACTACAGCCTCACAGAAAAGCGGCTGATCTCTAAGACAATAAGTTAAAATCTGATGCGCTGAATGTAATGTGACCTGAGTGGTGCCTGAGTATAAAGGAGAATCTGATGCGACTGTATTTTTAAAGGTTTGAAACTACTGTATTGTGCCTTTGGGATGTTTTTTTGTCACACTGTGCTTGTCAACAGTATGTTGGGTCCCGTCTTTGTTTTGACAAGCTCACCTGAACTCAACACGCCTCCGTCAGGTTACACTCGCTCTCTGACAGGATGCATGAAAATAAGAAGTCTGTCCCTGCTGTCTTTGAAAATCAAACCTCTCCTTTTGCCCTTCATTATGTCATGTCTTACTTATTAATTTCAAAACGTGATTGTGCCACTGGTGACAACAGGGACATATGGAGATAAGCTAAAATAAGAGCCCGATGAAAAAGACAAATGTTGACAGAATCACATTGCATTATACTCTAAATTCATCCTGCAGTTGGTAAATACATTACTGTAATTAATGAAATCTCCTGCTCACAATACAAAACATCACTCATGTTTTCAATGTCATGTATTTGGCTTGATGTCTATAGATGGAGAAGGGAAATTTGCCTCCACATAAGCACAGCATCTTATTTCCATAACCTTGGCTTTTTTTTCCTCCACGACAGATGGTACAATTAAATAGGAAGCACAGCCGCCATGGGAATGTGGTGCCTTTGAATGTAGATTGAATGAAACAAGTGGCAGTGATGGAGTGTTGGGTTATGAGACAAAGATTACCGCGCTCCTCTGATTGAAGGCTCGCCTCGCTGCTGGGATAACGTCACATGTCCTGAGCCATCGCAAACGGTTTAAATGCATAGAAAAGCATTGAGTACAGTTGCTATTCTGTAATTCTATGGAACACATATGGAGCAGGAATCTCGGCAAGTGATAACAGACACTTGCCCACAAAATGAACAGCATGTTCATCAATATGTTCATTAAAAACTGGATATTCTTTCCTTTGCTTATGAAAGCCATTCCGTGTCACTCTTTGGTTTCGTTTGTTCTTGCCGTGCTGTTGATTCTAAAATACCCTGGCATGACGAAATGACCATTTTCTCTCCCCTGTCCCAATCCATTCACACCTTCCTCTCCCATCCTCTGTCTCCATCTCCTTCCAGGCACAGACCATGGGGATGATGACAGAGTATTACCACTATATCTTCACCACTCTGGTAATGTATCATGCTTGTTAATGCAAATAGAGTCTCGTTTGTTCTCATCTCCCCACCGCTTGAGTTTCATGATGAATAGTGGCTAATTGCCAATGGGCTTTGGATCCAGTCCATTATATCAATTTTGTTTGACAAACTGGAGGCTTAATGGAGTCTTCAGTGTGCTGTAGAAAACACTCTGCTTTATGTTAAGTCAACAAAAGTCGTTGAGGTGGCAGAAGGGAAAAAAATAACAGCCTGAGATTCAAAACTGTACGATTTCTATTTTACAAAAGATTTCAGACTGGGTCATTATAAGCTTTTACAGAATCATGCCATATGTAGTAATTTAAGTGAACTTGCTTACACTACAGCACCAACATTAAACCAGATTTTCAACTGAATATGATTCCTCAGTTAATTGGCTTTTAAGTCAATAAAGTATTTTAAAATAAGTTATTGATTTCAGAATCTATGAAAGGTTTGTTTACATCAATAAAAACATAAGTAGGCCTAAAATAGGCCTATTCTCAGTAATAACTCTCCTCCATCCTTACAAGTATTGAGGTGGAATCACAGAAAACTGAAAAATGTAACCTCTATGAAGATATGGCAGCTATATCAGAGCATTAGTTTGAGCTAGGTGTACCTAGTAAACTGGCACCTGTATATATATGTATCATAAGTATATCTGATATAAACCAAAACATTATATCTTTCACTGTTTTTACTCAGCTAAAATGATCTTGTTGGGCTAATATAAGCCGTCCCAGCAGGAAGCCATGGCTGCTCTTCACTGTGACACTGGCTATCTGGTGACAAACAGACGGAATGGGAATGAATAGCAGCATGTTCGATGCTGTTCCTTTCACTCTCTGTTATTGTCTGTTTCTGCCTCCCTTGTGCACACACACACTGGCTGTCTCTCTGGACTCGGCCAGTCTGTGATAATGCGATATGACATAGAGGTCCAGGCATGATGGGTGTCATCTTTCATGCTCAACAGCGTGGCAATGATATTGTTCTGCCATGCGTCATTTTGGTGTAGCATGTGTTTTGCTTTAATAGGGAAATTCCCTTTTATCGTGAGTGCACTGGTTGATGTGTTAAGTGTAACAGTTTTGAAATAACTGGAAGAGAAAAATATATTTACTTGCAGTTTGACTTAAAATCTCGTATTTTATATAATTTCCTGCAACGATCTCATTGTGGGATCTAAATATGTTGTCGTACTGATTGCCACACCATTAATACGATTATACCTAGTGGCTTGATTTGACTGAAAATGATGAATACATGGTTTTACAGAGCAATACAATTTCCCCTCGATGGAATATACTGATGTCTGTGTTTTATCCTCTGAGGTGAGGGAAATGGCGACTTATTAGAGCATGAAAAGGCAACAGCAGAGTGGTTTGGGGTAATAACTTCCTTGTCCTTGTGAAATGAGTCTGTCATAGCTCTCGTCTCACAGCAGCTATCTCTGAGAACCTAAAGCTGAGCACATACAGAACACTTTTCCTTGTACTCAGAGATATGGGGTGTGTTCCTTGGGTAAAGAGGACTGCTGTGTAATGTTGTTGTTAATGTTTTTGTCTCATCGACGTGTGTAAAAGGCAGTGCAGCGAAAAGTCAACTTATAATTGGAACAACTTACTTCTCTGACTTTCCAAAATGCCCTGAGACAAAATGAGGATGTCGCAAAAGATGAATTATATTTTACAAACAATTCTGTCCCAGTTAGTTTGTATTCTTAGCTTCAAAGATACAAAACTCGTAACCTGATCTACTTTGCTGAGTGCTTCTGAATGTCATATAGAACAATAGTGATTTACTTTGATATCTGTTCATAAAAGATAGTACAGTACTAGATTCTAGTGGGAGAGAAAAAAGAAATGAGGAGAAATATTTCAGTGACTGGCAGCGACCGTTCTTTAGTAAGTGTCTTACACGCTCTTGTTCCCTCAGCACTAACCCCACAGGGTGCTAATGAAATATCCATGTTCATCCAAATGTCTTTTCCAAGCCCCCTGGCCCATTCCGACACGACATGTGTCAACATGTGACTTCACACTTCAACTACAACGGCTGCCCCAGAAATTACAGCGACTCAAATTGAATTGCTTTTTGCTCAGAAGTTGCTGGGGGAATGCAAGTGTTGAATTATTAACATAATCCAACAGAACTGGTGTTTTTTTGTCTTTTTTTCTTGTTCGCAAATTTTCCTTAGCCACAGACAGTAATTAGAAATAAGGATCTATAGATTTTGCATGATTGATTATAATAAAGAAAAACAAGTTACATAACACAAGCATGTTGCTTGTGCGGTGTAATTCATTGCTATGTAGGCACAAAAACAATAACAATTTGTCAATTCTAAAAGGATTTGCCTGCAGTAAAATGACTCCGCCACAAGAGCCTTTCAAGATTTCATTTATTATACAGACACTGCTTTAGACAACATACTTAAATCTCCTGATGTGACATTGAAAACAATACTTCTCCTTTCTTTCACTCGATTTGGTCTTAATATAGTGTTTCTTCAATCAGCTGCTGCGTCACTCCTTTTTTATGTGAGGAGGACGCATCCAGGATAAATACTTAAAATAAAGATTCTCACCACACTAAATGAGAATCCCGCTGTCTCTCAAAAAAAGGACCTGATGGCCATTGACCTGGAGCCATATCGCTTCTGTGGTGTCAACATGACCGGCTTCCGCATCCTCAACGTGGATAATCCCCAGGTTGCAACCATTGTGGATAAATGGTCGATGGAGAGGCAGATACCACCTAAACCTGATTCGGGCCTGCTGGAGGGCATCATGACGGTATGTCTTATTACTTCTGTGTTGTTCCATTTAAAGTGAGTTATCAAAATGTCAACATAAGGAACCCTGCCCATGGTGAGAATGAGATTTTTTTGTGGGTTACTATTAGATTCAAAGCTTTTACTTCAGTAATTCACACAATTCATGATTCTAATTTACACAAACAGCTCTCTTTGAGGCTTTGCTTTATGTATGTATGTATGTAGACAGACGTGTAGTTCGGCTTTTTTCACTACATATTGAATGGAAAAGACACATTTGACAATTAATATTTTTTTACAGGTATGATCGTTCGTACTGGTTCCAGCATCTTATAAACAATTGTTCATGTGTTCAATGTACATGCTTTTATTAACCAGTGACACTTGTGGGCAATTTAGTTTTTTGATAAAAGCTTTGAATAAACTTAACGATAAACCTAACCCTAACCCTAGTAGACAAAGCAAGTGAAGCTAACACAAAGGTTTGTATATAACAACTCCAATTATCTACAGCCACAATGAGCCAAGATCTCTGAAGCTACATGACCATGTCCACGTCCATGTCCAGAACATGTCCACCTGCTCTGAAATCCTGGCTCTGTTCCGGTATAATAAAGTGAGAGACAGTCCTGGAAAGAACAGGACACACCAATGGAGTTTCTAAAAAATAATGTTACTAAAGGATCAGTTTGTTAACCAAATGCAAATGTGTAGCCTGATTACTCTTAAAACTGACTGATAGGTGTAACAAATAAACAGTAAACAGCAACTAAATTCAACTTTCTAATGTCTTAAGTTGCATTTGTATGTGAAGTAAAATAGACAAAGGAAGGAATATACTTTCAATTACCAGTTGAAGAATAAACGATGGTAATTTGTCATATACAGTTAACCTCTTTAATTGTACAAGTAGATTTATCTAAATTTCACTTGCAGAAAATTTGTATGATTGATGTTTAAAGAGAGTGAAACATTTATGTACTTGAAGGAAGGCTTAATCTTTACAGTATATAATTCATTTCTAAAATACACTGTCTGCACCGAAAGTGTGTCATAGAAGTAATCATTAAAATACTTAAGTTACAAGTGTAAAAAATGACGGTATTAGAAAAACAAAATCAAATCTTTAGATTGTCCCATATCAGCATGCATTTTAGATTGATGGATACTCGACCGTCTCATCTTTCCACAGGCATCAGCTGAAATAATGTTCACCCCTTATTCCAGACAGATGCAGCTCTGACCTATGATGCGGTCCACATTGTATCCGTGTCTTATCAGCACGCTCCGCAGATGACAGTAAACTCGCTGCAGTGCCACCGCCACAAACCCTGGAGATTTGGAGGTCGCTTCATGAGTTTCATCAAAGAGGTGATGTAACGCCTTTTGCATGTTGCTACATTGTGATTTGAGCATAATTCATTTTAAAGCATACTGATTGAGTGGTGAACATGACAATAGGAGTAGAGTGAGGACCGTGTAGTCATTTGAGGCTTAGATATTTACCCAGTAAATCAACAATATCCACATATAAAGAAAACCAAGTCTTGATAGACACATCAAAGCAGCATTGTTGTCAGCTTTATAAATTCCCTGTATTCATAACCTATTTTCCGGAAAGCACGTACTGTCACCTTTTGAAAGTGCAACTTGTGTAATCAGCTCTTATTTCATCTAACATGAGAGTCTGACAGTGACTCAGAATACACAAACAAGTCTTGGCAAAATGGCAGATGAAGGGTGTGCAGAGATGCTACTATTTGTATCTTGATTTGTTCAAACAACAAAATCATTAGAATTTCTTTGTCTTGGGTGTGGTCTAGAAATGGCAGGAATTCCATTTGTTTTTCTTTCTATCTCATAATTACTCAGATTACTGCAGAAATAAAGCATTAACCTGGAGCTACGGTATTTCATCAAGGCTTCGGCTTGTAACCAGGATCCATCATCTGTGGGAACTGCACGATTCATTTGCATATACCCACAGAGAAATAAGAGTGAACAGGGGGCTGTCCATATAAAAGGGCAAAGCTAAACCCTTTTCCCAATCCACTTTTCTGTAACACAATTCAACTCATTATCCACGACTTTGTCTAGAGATTTTCTCCCTGCAGCGGCTAGGTGTCCGTGGTTGACAAACACTGCTTGGGGCTTTTATACACCTCAAGCAGATTGCCACTGTACCTATGCTGGCCAACATCAAATGTTACAGGTGTTACTGTGAACAGTTCTCTGTCTAAATGCATCAGCAATGTGGTTGGCTGGTGACCTGTCCATGGTGTAAACCACCTCTCAATCAGTGTCAGTTGACTCCTGTGCCCCTGTGATGCTCAGAGATAAGTGGGTATCTCTAATTGATAGATATATAATCTGTTCTGTTCTATAATCTATTGGTCCAATGATCTGTACCTTCAATCAGAGGGTGAACAGGGTGTTAACCCTAACAATAGAATATAAGGTGATTGTATTATATCAGTTAATATTCACCATGCTTTCTTGGCTACCAAGATATAGAAAGCTACGTAGTGCACTAAGTGAGGAGTTGAGATTTTCCACCATCATCTGCAGTTTTACTGCGTCTTGTGTCATCTGCGAAAGCAGTCCCACTTTGCCATTCCAGTGAGTCATGGTGATCTGACCAGTAGGCATTATGTAGTACAGTTATTGTGCATTTCCTCTTAGCTGAGAGTGGCTGGTTGTAATAAAAGGTTTGTGTGAAAGGTTATTATTGTCACAATTATTATTGTCACCTTGTTTATATGAACTCAGGTATGTCACTCTAACAAAGTAAGTAAAGGTACAGGCAGTGTCTTTCAGGAGAATTTAAAAGCACAAAAAATCCAATTTTCAATTTGTGGTTTGGCAAAAATGAGGGCCCACGGTAAAGAGCATTCAATGTTGAGAGTAGTCTCCCTGAGTAAATAGAATTAGAGCAACAATATGTAACCATCCATTTACAATGACATATCCATGATGAACACCCTGGGAGAAAATGTAATTTTTGTCCTTGCGCTCACGATGCAACTGTTTCCAACCATTCCCACAACACCCAGAATTCATTGTGCAAAGTGTGCTCGGAAAACTGATGCCCCTTATTATCATGTTACTCAGCTACACATCCCCATCTGGCACAAGATCCACGAATACTATTGTTTGTGTCTGAGTTGTAGGAACAATATCTGCTTGTCTGCCAAATGCGCAAACACAATATCACATAGGCTTACACCATCACAATGAAAACAAACAATGTTGTGTGTGTGTGTGTGTGTGCGTGTGTGTGTGGTCAGTTGAAACAATGAGCATTGTTAGCCATCCTGAGATATCCCATTAACAGTCATGTTAGCAATTTGTGTGATAATGACTGAAGTCAATAAGATATCATTACAGTGTTGTTCCTATGCAAACAGACTGTCGTGTGAGGTTATAAAAACACTTACTCAGACCTGATTTACGATTGCTCCAAGATAAGTGTCTGACATGTTCTGAAGGTCGAATTGGTCCTTCAGATGTGATGTGGCTGAGGCATTTATGTCACTCTTTGAATTAGAGCAGTTTGAACATGACACCCACCTCTGCAGTGATAGGCAAGATGAAATGAGGTACGAGACTTGGAAAAAGGAGCGTGCCACAAACTTCTCCTTGAAGCTTGAATCTCCTCACAATAAGTTCTGACAAGCGACAGGAGGGGACAATAGAGTTATAGCCTGTGTGGTTGTTACAATTTGTATTTGAAATATCACAAAACTACAAGATCTATTAAATATATGGTCTGTTGCATTACAGACTGTGACTGAATGAAATAGACACCAATGGATACAAATACTACAATAATTCAAGGAAATATGATTAATAAGAAATTCAATTAAAAATCGATTGTATAGCATGGCATACAATACAAATGCCAGGACTAAACTAAAACTGAAAAGACCAATGACAAAAGAAGAGGTACTTCCGTTACTGCTGATACATGGCTACCTCTATTAGCCTAAGTATGAGAAAAACAGGTACTTAGCAGGGACTGTCGTGTTTGCTTACGCGTACGTCTATGGAGGTGGCGGGTATCAGGGAATCGTAATGGGGGCAGTTATGTGTTTTTCCCCCTCATGGGAAATCAAGCAAAAGGAGATGGTTGTTAATTAACTCTGTAGTCTGGAGGGAAAATGCTTTGGAGGCGTTGAGATGTAAAATGTAATTTAAAAAAGGGAAATGCAGCCTGTACGATTCGTGTACTTTTGGTCAGTGGGTGTTCATGCATGTGTAAGTGTGAATCTTCTCTCAGAGGAAGATAGAGGATGTTGGAGTGTGTTTTGGTGACAGCCCTTGCATATTTCTCTGCGATTATTTTGTCATTATGTTTTTCCAAATTACAATATGCACCAAATACTAGTGATGCAACAGCGCCATAACTTTTAATACAATCAAATCTGAACCAATCTTACTGGGCGACAGTTGTGGATTATAATGATGTTAGACTCCTTTGTTAGTTGTATTTAGTTGTGCAGGTGTTTAGAATGCTGTGTGCATCATTTTACATTGACTGTGGAATTTGATCAATTAATATGGTTTTAAATAAGTATTATCTTTCAGTCCCACTGGGATGGTTTGACAGGGAGACTCTCATTCAACAAGACAACTGGTCTACGTACAGACTTCGACCTGGACATCATCAGTCTAAAGGAGGATGGACTTGAAAAGGTAACTTTTATTGAAATACTATCTTCTTTTTCAATGCGTTCTTTGCCGAGATAGAATAAAACTAACAGCAATGTATATCACCCCACACAGCTTATAAAAAAGTAAAACTTCTGTGACGATTACACCATAAAAAGAAGATAATGGAATATTGATTCCAGAAATACATCTTCTATTTGCTTCTGGAGGTGGAACGGATAATGCAAATTTGACAGTATCATTTACCTCCTAACAAGGAAGCAAATTGGCTGCTTCAACATAAGCATAAGTTAGTGGATCATAAAGCAAATTGGATTAGGGTACACATTAGGGTGTTAATTGCAGCCTCTCTTAATGATAATTCGAGGTGATGCCCAAAATGCTGTTTGGCGGTAATGAGCTGTATAAACATGTTTTCCAAAAAGGGGGGAAAAGGAACTGAGAGGTTGGAAATGTAGAACTTATTTTATTATAGTGTAAGGCAAAGTACCCTCTGGACTATAACAGCTTTTCTCTAGTAGAGGGCTTTCATACATTATGAATACATCAAATAGGGATAAGTCCCATTATGACTTCCTCAAGTACTCCCCAAAGGCTCAGGACCATATAATAGCAGGGGCTTTTCAGCTTGTAACCCTTCTGTTCAAGAACGGAGATATTCACTTGCAACACTGCTGCTTTGAAATTATTCTCCTTTTACTGGCATCTTGTCCTGCAAGCAGTCAATTAAGTTGAAGCACAGTCAAATTGAAAAAAGTATCTGATTACATATTTGCATCTTCACATGACTGACAAATCCTACACTCAAGCATGTTCGTGTTGATCCAGCCTGGTGCTGCGGAATGCAGTTTTTTTTTAATATCCATGGAATCGGCTTTAACTATTTGAGCCTGTTAAGATGTGGACTTTTCTCAACTAATCCACTGTAATTGAATATTAGCCCAAATGTGAGCTTGTGCTGGATTTATGAACAGTTTCTCAGAGTGCCACTTTTCACTCCATGCCTGGCACGCTCAGGAGGGTGTAATACATGCAATGCTTGCTGTGTGGTTGCATGAGTAAATAATTTTAAATCAAGTCCTTTTGCAAATCATGTGTAATGAATTGAGCTAATTGTAACTGGGTACAATCACATAGAGTTTTGCAAAGCGGAAAGCATTCACAGATATGTCTAAATCTCTCTCCTGCAGTCCTCTTTGGTTGTGTGACAAGCTGTAACTAATGTGCTTTTCAAATTAGAGCATATGCCTCTCTCTGGATTAGGCAGGGAGGACATTAACAGACATTTTTACATGCTTTTTGCTGTGTCTTTAAATGGATCCACCTCAAGCAGAAACCCCTGTGATTATTAAAAGCTGTGTCTGTGGTAATAGAGGATGCAGTAAAGATGGAGGGCGGGTTTTAGTAGAGGGTTTGACTTGCAAACAGAGATTGGAGCCGACAGCCAGAGGACTATTTGTGCTAATGATACGTTCCAGAGTGTGTCTCTACAATATGCAGAGGTTTTTGCCTGAGGGCTTCTCGCATGTATAACTCCTTTTATTTGTTCAAATCTCTTGGCTTTTCTTTCTGAAACTGCAGAGCAGAATTACTTTCACAGTGTATTCCAACCGGCAGCCCCATGATGTACCTTCATACAAATGAACTGTACCCTTCTTGCAGTATTTGCCATTTTAATAATTTTTCTGTTTGTTTAAGTGTCATTATTTAGCCTTTTTTTTCTGTGTTATTCACATTTACATGGATGTCAGATCCTCACAACAGCAGTACAGCACCACATTAAACATTATATTACTATTTGTGTACTATAATCAAACAGTAATCAAATTTAATATTGAAAACCTGGTTTATAACATACAATTCCTGAAATGACTCAAATTTCTTTAGTTTGCCCATCATACTGATTTCTTTCAAGACATACACCTAACTACCTTTTGCTTTCCAAACCCCTCTGACCTGCTGATATGAAGGTGACTCAGTTGATACAAAGGTGACTCATCTAATGCTTCAGGAGATGTGTTCAACTTGGCTCTAATGCAAGGGATGGGTTGTCTGCTGGGGTCACAGCCCACCAACAGACACAGAACACTTAACTACAGGCTTTTCATCTTCCGCAGGTGGGGAAGTGGAGTGTGTCAGGGGGTCTTAACATCACAGAAGCGCCAAAGCGAAAGGGGATGAACATCACCGATTCCCTGGCCAACCGCTCCCTCGTCATCACCACCATCCTGGTAGGTCACCTGTGCACCCTGGTGTGAAAGATAATACCTTGAAATTCAGCATAAGGTCTTATATCTCTCTCTCTCCTGTAGAGATATGCATTGTCATCCAGAGGGCATCAGCCATGTTATTCTCTAGATTTACTGCAACACTAAAAAAGAGATTCACTCAGTTTACAACACATCTTTGTGACATATTATATTTGCCAGATCTAAACATAGCACACAAATCACAGATTATAGATCAGATACTGTACTAACATTTTACTATAATTGATGGTTTGCTAAACCCCCTCTACCCTCCATTGTGCAGTCATAGTTTAACAACTATAACTAGGCACAGAATACTTGACAATGAAGTACGTTCAAATGCGTTGTTTATTGCATGTATGATTTGAAATTTCACTTTTTACTAGTGTGTATATTGCCCACTACAAACAACTGTAAGAATGGATCAAGCAGTGTTTTTATGTGCTCTAACATAAGCTGCAAATGTTGCCCAGCAAGCTGCCTCCTTACAGTTAAGAACTTGATTAGATCAGGAGGAGGTGTTATTGGGTCAAAGTCTGTTGTCCCTGTTGATTTACGTTTTCTTTTACCTTAACCTGAACCTAATCTTACTCAAGCCACTTTTATCTGCATACTCTTGAGCCTTGGAATCTAATATGTACTATAACTGAACCCAGCATTACTTCTAAGGCCAAGGAACATTTCATCATCAACAGTTTTTAAGGTTGCATTCATTTTAAGCTCTGTTCACCACACCACAGCCGCTGTGTAATATTTCGTTGCTGTGAAAATGCTGCTAATTCAGAATTTTGGCTCATATTAGAGGCTGTTCTGTTCTGCTCTTTACTGGATTTGAAGAAGCTTAAAAGTAAAACCAGAAATAGCTTTACGTTAAAATCCTTCACTGCAATATAAGAATAATATTGCATCTTCATTTTAATGTCTTGAATCATCACAGCTGGTGAGGAGTCCTAGATCCTGCATGCAGCTTCAGCCCCACATTCTTGTAGCACAATATCATATATGCCTGTGTTTGACCACAAGACTGTAATTTTGATGACTGATGACAAGGAAGGACATAATTAATGCTTAACAGAAGCCATTGTTGTTCATTCCATCTCAAAGTGGAGAAATCAAATTTAGTTTTAGTGGTGCAATATTGAAATTGTGTACAAGGAAGTGCCAGTGTTTTCTGATTTAACATCAGAGTTTGAGTGGTGTTAGATCTAGTCATCACTGAGTACTTCAAGAGTTTCAAGTTCAATTCAGCTTTTCCAAAAATTCAAAATACATTTGAATATCTCTGACATGTTCTTTGATTTGCTATTTTACTGGGAATCATTAGTTTAAGGTCATAAAACTAGCTACTTTCAAATTGCTGAAGATAATTCAGTCTTAATATCAATCTCTCCTCTTGGCGTAATGATATTGCATCAAACTGATTCCAGTGATGCATGAACAAGACGTCTGACAGCTTTATAGTGATAACTTTGTCGAAGAGATTAAGGCACTTAATGTGTTTTCCTCCTTACATTAATTGTTTGCACTCCATTGCCTGTAATGTCTCTTCACAGGCCCACCTCCCTCCTCTTTCTGTTATGCTAGCCCATGCTGCGACTGCGAGGGTAGAACTGGTATAAACACTTTGATTTGAGTTCAAACCTTGGGGAATAGCAAGAATTGGAAGGCTAGAAACAGATGGTAATGACTTTTTCCCTTAACATGCAAACTTTCTGATGAAGTTAATTGGACAACTTGAGCAAAGTTTGTGATTAAGCGCTTACTCCTAAATGCATTGTTATCAAGTATTCATATCTTATCATTTATTTAAAAAGCCATCCCAATTGTAGTGTCCAAGTGGCTCTGTGTTTTAATAGCAAACAATTAAAGACATTTATCTTTCGCTTTATGTTGTGTTTACAGAGCACAAAACAAAACTATGTCTAAAAGCCACCTGCACATGATGTTGTATTTTAGATATAATAACTTTAGTTGTCCCCACCTACACTTGACCCCATGAAAAACATTGTTTTAGTGGAATGAAGGGCACTTTGCCTATTTTCTCCTCTTTGACTATTTTTTTTAAAAAGCAAAGGGTTACCTTCACTAAATAATTACTCTGCTCCTGAGTGAGTTTGTAAATTATACATCTGGCTATTGGAGGCAATAATTTATATTACAATCCTTGCATGAATAGACCAACATGTCCTGAAATGCACAGCAGGATATGCAGGTCTATCTGGCAGCAAATTGGTAACAGGCACTAAATAAAGGAAATCATTTATGAGCTATTCTGTGTTAGTCATTGTCACTGCAGGCGTCAGCTCACTTGCTCTCCCTTGGAGGTTGGTGACAGTTGATGAAGGTAATGTGGTGGGCATGTTACATTATGATGCTGTATTCTGCCCTTCATCAAGCTTTTACACAGAACAAAACAATGGGCAGCCAGACAGGATATTACTGGCCAGTAAAAGGTGGCAGCCACCTGACCACTAAATAGACCAACCTGTGGACCGGCTTCATGTATATAGGTTCAGTCAGCTCAACATTACAAATATAGTACAAACATTCCCTCTCTGTGCATTACCATCACTATAGCAAAGACTGGTTAGGGCTTTGCAATTTAAAAGACATTTACCCGCATTAGAGTCTTAAAGTAGCTCAGGTCTCCTTTCACTAATACATCAATGTAGGAGAAACCTCAGCCTTCTTTCATATTTTAACATTCCCTGTAGCCGTACACCGAGCTGGAATCTGCTGTCACTGCCTGTTAAATGCAACAGCGGCTCATCAGCTCATATCACTTTGCTTCAATTAGGTGGATGTGCTGAAACAAATTGAAAAAGCTGACCTTACCATTGCTTTTCATTTGATCTTTTGGGTCTGCGCAGGAGGAGCCATATGTCATGCTTAAGAAGTCTGACAAGGCGCTGGTTGGGAACGACCGCTTCGAAGGGTTTTGCATCGACTTGTTAAAAGAGCTCTCCAATATCCTGGGCTTCACGTATGAGATCCGCCTGGTGCCTGATGGAAAATACGGCTCGCAGGACGACAAGGGCCAGTGGAACGGAATGATCAGGGAACTTATCGAACACGTAAGTTGCACTTCATATTGGAACAGTTTGACATTTCTGGAAACTCACTATACAGGAAATAAGTAGCTGGATCAAGCAGCCAGTTAGCTTAGCAGATGTCAGACAACTAGAGAAGAAGTTACTACTCCACCCCAGGTATAGTCTTATAAAAAAAAACTTACAAGATGAAGTTTAGTGGTTATGTTTTGCTTTGTGTTCCAAATGAGGTGTTACATGTTAATTGGTGACCTTTAGAGGTGTTGGTATATAGATTTACACTAATTCAGGCAAGCTGTTTCCCCTTGTTCCCATTCTTATTGCTGAGCTAAGCTATTTTTATTTATTTTCCACACAGGCAAGAGAGTGGAATTAATCCTCTCAGACAATTCTTGGCAAGCAAATGAGCATGTTTCCTTAAAATGTCAAACTATTCCTTGAATATGCTGCATCTCTGCAATAAGGCAGCTACATATACTGTGAATGTTTTTTACATTATCACATGAACTTTCAAAAGCATGCCGTTGAAGTGAACTGCTGGTTATGTCCTCTGTGTGGACAATGACATCGTTATGATTGAGTACGAGTCAGGGGGAGCCTGCAAAGCTGTCAGTTACATTTATGGCACAATTATGTCAAGGTTGCCTAATGTTACAAGTGTGTTGATGCCAGACAAACCACTTCCTTCAGCTGAAGATCTGGGATGAGCAATTTAAATGCGTTGCATATTGTAAGGATACTGATAATCTTGTTGAAGCATAGTGGGCAATCGCAGCTGTCTGTACCAGACTCAGACATCCAGTGGCCATGAAGCAGCAGCTACACCAAAGTGATGGTGGCAATTCCCTGCTGGCATTTCATAAGTGTCCCCGTCAGTGCTCTCTCTTTGTCCTCAGCCCCATCAGGTCAGCGCTGTACTCAGCTGAAAACTTGTAATAGCTTAAGTGGCATTTAGTGCAGGGAATCGTATGGCAGGAGTCAATGGCTTGGTGCTGAAAGGGTTGGGAAAGGTGGACTTCCACTGCAGCACTTTGTATCAACATCCAAGCTTTTTGCTAGATCCATGTTGATAACAATAACCTTGAGGGAACAAATGGATTACTAAAGGCACTGGCACCGAGATGAAGATGCATGGTTCTCTCATTTAAGAGCACATTCACTCTTTGTATTAGTCTATTCTTTGGTTTAAAGGGAGATGGTGCAGGTGTCTACTTAGTTTGTTCATTAACTCAGTCAAATAGAGAAAAAGAATGAGTGTGACTGAGGTTTACATGGGTTTGTAGCCTCTGGTGATTGAGACCTACTGAAAACAGTGCGGTCCATATTCTATATAGGCTCAATTTGCATTTGGTTTGCATCTTTAAAAACTGAGAAATTATAAAGCAATAGACAAATACAGTTCATGAAATGCATTTGAACGTGATTCTTTTGATAAGACACCATATATTTGAGCCTTTTTAGATCTATTGCCTTTGTAAATAGCAGCAGAAGTGAAGATTACAATCTGTTCTGCCAGTTATTGCTTTTACTGTTCGTTATCACATGACCAAGGATGCATGACGTCGCCTTTGTGGATTTTCAGTCGGTTCTATTTTGTGGTCTAGTGCTTTCCTTACCCTTGTCGGTATGGATAAGCTGTTCGTGATTCAGCAGACCTGAAACATAAACGTTAAGGCAAGCTCAAGAGATCTGACCCTCGAGTGATATGAGAGGCCAGTGAGGCGACAGAGCTAACTACAAACTACTGCAGCTGTATTTCCTCTAAACTTGTGAAATGTACTATGCAGTAAGTCGGGATCCATACAGAATGGTCCATTGGAAAATATATTGTAAGAATTCATTGTTTACACCACATACAAATAGATAGTGAAGGTAGTAGTTGGCCAAAGTCATAGTTTTATCTGTTCAATTTGTATTCATAACTACTTTCTATTAACCTCTTAAAAACCCATTGTCCCCACGCGGTAAAACAGATAAATAAGATCTGTAACAGTTTACTGGGGATCAGTGGCTTTACTTAAAAAAGGGTCATGACATTAGATAAGGTCTGTGGTAGTGTAGAAAACAGGGGAAAGTGTTGGTTTCGGCTGATAAAATGGTGTTTAAACACTAAGTCTCATACGTTAAAACTATCCGCTCCCATAGTGTAGCCTCATAAATCATAGTTGCACTATAGAAATTACACAAAACTGTTTGAATGACTCTTATTTTTAAGTGGGTTTATTAAAATCAGTTGTAAGCGTCCAGTCATGTCTGTAATCCATCAAGATCTGTTGCAGAGAATGAGATGTGACAGAGAGTAAAAATCTGTGTAAGCTTTTTATGTCTTTTGAATGCGATACTATTACACATTTCAATCCCTGTGAAACTGATGCTTCTGAATGAGTAACTGCGACGGTGCCAAGTGCAGAGATTTAGTATTGTGTAACATACAGCCCTTTATTAGCCTCTGTGTAGTCACAAAGCTTGCTGTGGTGCCAAAGGGCATTGTTTGGAAGGTGCTAAATGATGCAACAGGCCTTGTTAAACTTGATTTAGTCACAATAGATGATCACTTTAATCATGCTGTGATGCTAATGTTAACAGCGTGCATAGCACATCATTTGTTTCAGTCATGGCAATCAATCTTTGCTTCAACAGATAAGTTATAGCCAGCCCAAATCCTCTTACACATATAGATAGTGGACAAGACTTAGGCCTGAATGTTAAGCTGAAGCAACGTCATTAATTTGTATTCAGGTAAAACATCCATATTTGGGTATTTTATGAGGGAAACATGTAACTGCAAGTGTGTGTGATCTTGATTTTAATCTCGGAAGCAGGATTAGGTAGATGTGAGAGTGGCTAACCAATAGCTGTAAGAGCATTAAACTGCTACAGCAGCAAACATTTCTCTTAAGTAAATCACATTCCAGACGACCTCACCCTGAAGCCCACTGCTTATGCAAAGTACCAATTTCTTGATTACATTAAGTGTGCTTCATCATTAGCCCTTTGTATATTTTGATACCAGACTACAGCATATGAGAGTGTTCGGATGTATCTATATTACTGTGTGTCGTCAGTACATAAACGTCACACAGTGCATTTGTTTCCCACAATGCATTTTTGTATAAGCATACCAATGTCTAATGAAACTTTTTTTTTATGCCAATACAAAAAATAGCTCTTTGTTGTCCAACCCATTATTTCAGCAAAGTGTATTTCTGAAATTACATCACAATCCTCTGATAATTTGCATTTTAATCTGTTCTAAATCATTAGGATAACACATTTGCAACACAATCATACTATTTAAATTATTCTTATATTAAACTACCTGCAATAAGATGCATTTAAACTACAGAGTGTGCAAATAAGTGGCAAAAGCCTTTACTGCATTTTTGGAGTTAGAATAAATGCACTAATATCATCCACTGGTTTTAATGATTTCATTAACAGCTGTAAGAAGCAGATCAAAATACTGATGTTAAGTAAGTGCAGTATACAGTTAGTGGGTAAAAAATATGAACTTTAATTCAGTTGCAGTCTTGCAAAGGTATACGTATCTCCACAGAGCTGCGTCAGCTCAGGAGAATGGTCTGACTGCAGCCATTATCATTCTGCTATGGGGGAAAATGCTGTGGCTTGTTTATATTTCTTTTTAACCACACACAATTGTCTTTTAATCACAATTGTCTCGGGTGCCACTAAACCCAAGATGCAGTTACGCTGCGCCTGCAAAACAGTATTGAAGGGGAGGGACTTTTGGAACATGTGCATATGGGGAAGTAATCACTTCACTGAAAATGACCAAATTGACAGAAAGGAAACGGCACAAAACAGCAAAGGAGTGATTCTATGATCCAAATGATTGTCAAAACATGCCTTTGTAGGTTACTAGCTCAGAGGTAGTTGTCGTTTCACAGAGCTAAATGGACTTCGAAAAGGTTTACAAGCAGGAAGTGGACAGGGGGAGAATGGCTGGCTCAAACCTGAAGCCTATATTCAGCGAGTCAGACTATCTTAGTTTTAACTTCATAAATCCTCCAGACTGTTTGTCAGGTGAGAAGGTCCAGAGGGAGAATACTGCAAAGCCCCACCATCTGCAAACCCAGATAACACCAAGCCATGTGGCATGCACTATCAGGTTATCACGCATATGCCCAGTTTGTGTGCCTAAGCGGTAAGCAGAACAAGGACATGCAGCATGTATATTAACTTGCCGTAGGGATGTCTGCAATCGCATGCTGGTTGATCTTCCGGCTGAGTGGCAGGTTGGTTCAGAGCTGCATTTGGCAGCAGAGAACAGAGGGAGCAGTATGTGATGTACAAATTTGAATATTTTAAGAGAGACAGCAGAGGCACGGCAGGATGCTCTGGTTTTCCCATCTTTCTATCTCTTCAGAGTCCACTGTGCATTTAACCACCATGGTGCTGACCACAGGAGTACATAATCCACAGTGCCACATGCAAAGTGGAAATGTTTTCTTTCTGACCTTTGTTTACTGCTGTGTAGTAGTTATCAAGTGAATCTGTGGGAAGAGCTGTCTGAGCCACAGGGGAAGCTAAATTCATGTTATGAATAGCCTTAGGGCCCCGAAAATGAATAGAAACGATGGTTAAGCTGGTAAAAACAGAGAAGATGACATAGAATACATCAGTTCGCAAGAGGAGGGAAGGACATAGCTGCATCACTCAGCTCAGCCTTTCATCTCATTAAGATTGTATGTGTTTGTGGAACCGGCAAATTCCAGTCCTGTAGGGTTAGATGTCAGGGTTTTGCATAAAAAACACATAAGCTGTCTCATATTACTTGGTAAAAATGCTGTACGGTGAAGTGCTGTATGAGCAGGTCCTTTTCCTCTTCCACCGCTCGGTGTGTAGGAAGTAAAAAAAAGTCTCTCTTTGTGATGGGTCTGGTTTCTTGCAAGAAAGAGGTATTCAAGCATGAACCAAGCAGCTGGTTTCATTAACCTCCTGTCCAGACATGGTGCAGGGGGAGCTGTGGGGGACGTTGAAATGAACGGTAACCTTCCGAATATGCAGTCATTCACACACAATAGCTGACTGAAACTTATCTGTCATGCTCAGTCAAGTCCTTTGTATAATGCTATAATGGTGTCATTATGTCATTCTATCAACATTAGATAATGACAGTAAAGATGGAGCTGCATGTGATTAGAACAATGTCTGTTTTCATTGGCGAGAGAAAGATGTTTCACATTTACCATTTACCAATTTTATTATCATAATTAAAAGTAATGACTGTATATGCATGCGTGTTTCCACACTAAATAAAATAAATCTTAAAAATAACATTTTATAGTCTCCTGACACACAAGTCATAGTATCAATGATATAACATGACTAATACTCCATAGAATTTTCTCTGGAGATTTTACCCATTCAGAGTATTGTTTTGAATTGTGAATGCTAATGTCAGCTTGCTAACATGCTTGGACAAACAATGCTAAAATGCTGTAATAGGAAACAATTTCATAGTTGAGATATATTTATCAAAATGACTGTTCTTGGGCAAGACACTGAGTTTAAAATGGCCCCTGATTGCTGTGCCGGCAGTGTTTGTTAGAAGACTAAAAAAGTGATATATAATACAGTCAGGTTCATCACCAGTGTTATTAAGATTTATCCTCTGGGTACAATGAATTTTTGTACAAAATGTATTGGCAATTATTTTATGACAAACAAACAACAAAGAGAAAAAAAAACTAAACAATTTTGTTTGTCCTCTACAGAGAGCAGACTTGGCAGTGGCTCCTCTCACCATAACCTACATGCGTGAAAAGTTTATTGACTTCTCTAAGCCCTTCATGAGCATGGGCATTAGCATCCTGTATCGCAAACCCAATACCACCAACAACGGCTTCTTCTCCTTCCTGAATCCCATGACTCCTGACATCTGGGTCTACATCCTGCTCGCCTACCTAGGGGTTAGCTGTGTCCTTTTTGTCATTGCTAGGTAAGTGCAAAATGTATATGCAAGTCTTCTCTCAAGTCTTTCATGCATTTGTCCATGGGACCCTTGAATAAACATAATTTTCTCAACTACTACTGCAGACTTTTGAGGACGTCAGCCAGTTTCTCTTACTGTGTTAGCTGCAAGGTAGTGATCAAGGCAGTTATGTCTGCATGGGTTCTCACTCCTGATATGAAGCACCATGAGTAGAATCTACAGTATTTATAGTTCATCTTCAGTATAAAAACTAAAATTCCTGGCAGCAATAAGTGAAATTTATTATGGATAGTGATTATCAATGTGACTGAAAAGTACTTTACTTGTATTTTTCTTTCTTTTTGGTCATGAACGTTATGAATATCCTGTTAGTATCATTGTCAGTATTTCCTGCTGCTTCTCATGCAAAGTGGTGCTTGAGGAAGTTCTCGAAAATCGGGCATTGAAAGGAGTTCTGGGGTTTGAGAGCAAACAGCTGCACTCCTCTTTCCTCATTCGTTGTTGTGAGACCAAACAAATTCTCGAGTGGCTTCACATAAATACAAAATCATCCTAAATTGTTGCATCAGTTTTTTTTTTGTTGGGGGGTGGGGGGACGTCGGCCTAAGCAGCTAAAAAGCAGCATCTTCAAATGTGCATCATGTAACGATACGAAAAAGTGAACAATGAGAGGACACTTCAGCACAAGATGGCAGTTTAAAATTTAAAGATTTCAAGGTTTGGTCGTTCGAAACATCTGCTAGATCCCATTAATCACACTGCGAGGTACATTTGACTTATTTGTTCAAAGGTACACGTTACTTCCTAACTGTAAATGAATAAAATGCAGAGTATTAGCCTGTATTAGCCTTTACCTTAAAACTAAGAATGATTTGGGTGAATGTAAATAAATACTAGATTAGCATATTTGATTAAGTCCATATACAAGAATGAAAATATCCCCCAAAAATACAGAGGCTAAGATATGTTGGTTTGCCAGGAGTGAGAATTATGGGTAACACTTTAGTTAAGGGAACACAATGTTAGCCACTAATACATGAGTAATAAGTGTATGTGTTAATGATCAATAAGATCTGCATTAAGCATCACTACATATGTATTAGGTATTTATTCAACAATTTCTTATTCTTACTGAATAGGTCATTNTTATGCCTATTTTTGAAGATGTCAATGTTAAGGAAGCAGGAAGACCACAACATTTGTTGTCTTTTTGTAGGATTTGTCAAGTGTAAGAGAACATTAATCATTCAAATCATATTATTCAAAACCAAAATAAATGGGTAGGTAAAGATTTTACTTTAATGCGGTTTAAAAGGACTGTGCTGTAACCAGCTCAAATTTGTCATAAAATGCATCTGTGATCAAATTTATCCATAGCGGATAATGTTTTTCATTAAACTTGTAAATTCTTGCCGACGACCATAAATCACAAATGCATTAGAGCTTTGTGTGGGAAAATAAAATGCAGTCAGTGTTGTTATAGTATGGAAATAAGTGTAATTTAATGACTAGCAGAACTGAAACATTAGTGGAAAGTGCAGGTCTGCAAACTTGGCACTTTTGCTTTATATGATGTTTGGATGCCAAGCAGGTTTCCAGAGCTCCTCTTGCATGTAAGGCTGTTCTCCTGGCCAACGGATAATAGTGTTGTTTAGCAGGCAATTTTGTATGTGGTCGCACAGTGCACAGTCTGAATGTGATGGCTTTTTAGAAATTAGCAGAAAATCGTGGCGATAAAAATCAGTCTTGTAACATTTCCTGTGTCGAGACAGCACTCAGAATAGATTTAAAAATAATATTCATTAATCTGTGTCATGTTTATGTCCCATTCATGAGAGGTTTGGATGTGCGGAGAGCAAATACATTTACCGTGCCTCTTCACTATCAACCTGCTTAAGTTATCTGACCATGGCTTTCAATTCCAAAGTAAAACAAAAATTAGACCAGGGGAATTAATTGAAATTGTAAGGAGCACCATATTAGTACGGCAGCAGCCTAAGGCCTCTCTGGAGTCTTAAGAGAAACACTAGTCAGTATATTTTATAATTTAAATGCAGAGACTGCACTTAGAAAAGTCAACATATGACCAAAATAAAGCCTTTTGCTAAAAACTTCAGATGTTTAAATTGCGTGCATTAAATTAGAATGATTTGAATAGAGGGAGCAGTTTCATGATTAGCCAACAATTCTGTTGAGCATCTGATTAAATTGGATAACATTACCAAATATTTCTGCAGCATGTAATTAAATTGGAGTGTATCTATCTCTTGAATAATGTAAAATGTTTTTATATTCACTAGAGCCCATCACAAGAATGGGAATGCAGTCTTTAGGAATCAGCTTGGTGGGTTCCAGTGATATGGACTCTTTTACTTATCTGGTTTTGTAAGACC